TGGGTCAGTTTCCTGTTACAGTCAATATTTACTACACAATTGATTGCGGACGGCGCAGACTTTAGATATTTTTTCTACATGTTTTTTTTGGTTCATGTCGTACCTATTGTGTTTAGACTAGTATATATCAAATTACTCCTTAATAGAAAACTATGGGAAAGTTTTTCTGACACGAAGCAAAAAAGTTTCATAGCCAACATAGTCAAAAGTAAGTTTATAAACAGGCAAGTTTTCAAGATTCTATATCATTTTTATTTATTTTAATATCTGCAATTTAGATTTTTAGACAAATCCATAGAACTTACTAACGTAGAAAAATACTATCAGAACCACATTAGCCAACTTAACTAGCTATATATAATACTAGCATTGCCCGCGGCTCCGCCCGCGTTCAGATGACCGAAATTACATATTAGTATACTCTTATATTGCATTTTTGTATTTTTTCTCAAAAATGATATATTTTCCCGCGGTAAAAAGTATCCTATATGTTGACCCGGATAACCAGCTACCATCATACCAAGTTTCATCGAAATCCCTCCAGTGGTTTTTCCGTGATGCGGTAACAGACAGACAGACAGACAGACATAAATTCTAAAAACTATAGATTCGGCCTGTGTATCGCTAATAATGTCTATTGCAATAAGATTTTCTAAAAAATATTTAATGTACAGATTCGGCTTAGTTACAATTTTATTATATGTATGGATAATGACAATGACATGTAATTAATATAATGACAAAAATGCTAAGCATTTTGTGGGTTCATTATCGAAAATAATTTTGTATTTGTTACTGATTATATAGGAATAGATTGTTAAAATATCAGCCCTTTAGACCAAGCGTCGGCTCAGGATTAGGACAAATTTAAAATTATTATTTAGGTAGAAGATAAATTATACTTTATACTATCTGATCTACTTAAAAACGGGGTGCTTAATTTAGATCAGCTTGATAGATATTTATTTTTAGGAAGATCTACATGAAATATGAACGAAATTTTGTAATTCATAATTAATACATTTCAAGAGCTATACAAATAAAACATATTTAAGATTAAAATAATTAATTTTAAAGTGATTTTTGAAGTCGTTTTACCTTATCAGCTAACATTTCGTAAAGCTATGCTCATCTTCAGTATACCATTGATTAGAGTCTGTCCACTGAAATTTAATTACGCTACAGGCTGCTTTGTGCGACAGTCTACAAAGCGCTAATAGTTAATAGACACTATAGAACTAGCCGCAAATTGCCAAACAAAAAGATGCGAGAAAATCATACATCGACGTATTTTCTGTTATTATAAGTTTTATGCTCTTCGGATCCTGTAGTTTGTCTATTAGCAATTTCTGATGGTTCATCAGGTTCATGTCCTGAGTTGGCTTTATAAAGAAGAATTTTTGTCTCAAGATTTTCTATCGGAAAAGTATCCATAAAAAAGTCTTATCAGGAATCAGGGTGAAAAATGAGAAAATACAAAGAATCATATAAAAATGACATTCCAATATCAAATGTAATATTTTGTTTATTTTTAATTGTAACAGTATTTATGGCCAGACTATGTATTTATCATTAACTAAGTCCACTGACCAATTAAACTTTTAAAATTCAATTTTGCAGTATCAGTTTACACAATAATGAACGCTTTTAATTGTTCAAATTTCAACGTTCAACTATACAATTATAAGTCACAAAGTACTAAAGTATACAACAATGGCGTTATAGTTATCATTTTGTTATTGATACTTGTGTAAAATCCATAAAGGAAAATAATACTCGTTGATCGCAAAAAGCTTTAATCTGCAATACTTAGATTACCGCGTTTTCAACATTTTATATAATATTATTTAATTTTTTCGCAGTTTTTGTTTGATTTTTGCTTCCTATGTTTCGAACGGGAGAGACTAAAGTTTCTGATATTTCAAAAGATATAGTTATTACATACCCATTTCTACCACTATTACATACAATATGAAACAACTACGAAAATGTCGAATGTTTGACGACACGTTTGGCTCAGTTTGCAGTGACCTACATGCTGTGCCAGCGGTCGCGGATTTGAGTCCTGCTGGAGGCATTTATTTGTGTGATGAATGTTTGTATTCCAGTCATGGGTGTTTATATTTTTAATATGTATGTATTTAAAGTTATATATGTGTAGTGTATCAACTATCTGGTATCTATAGTACAGGCCTCGTAGCTTACCATGGAACTAGATGGTGCTATGTGTTAATAAAAAAACATATTTTTATCTCTGAAATCATGATAAATGAGGGGGGGTGGGGAGTTTGTTGTTGGAAGTTTATATGGTTACTATACGTAATTAATCATTTCTCATGTAAGGGATATATACATTTTTATTTTTTAAAGTACATATCTTGTTTTTTATACCTATGTATGTACATATATACAATCTATTCTATATACGTGAAAATAAAACTGCAATATTAGAAAAATATTTTTATTTCTAAAAATTATGACACGTACAATAGAGACAAAGATCAAATACAACTAAGGATAAACTAAACATAGTACAAAAAATTTTGATTATTGGGCACTTCATTATAACTATAATGTTATTTACTTTTATTATTAATTATTTACTGACAAATGTATGTTTCTTTAAAACATATACATATATGTATGTATGTCTATCTAATAACAAATAATCATGTATATTTTTGTTTTTGTATTATGTTGATATTTTGTATATATACATATTTTTTTTTAATTAATAATATTTTTTTTAACTCCTCAGTCATATATATCAACAGCCATTATTTCCTAAATTCTAAATACTGACTAGAACTTCAAGTTATCTTTTCTAGAGTAAATTAAAGAAAAACATTTTAAACTTGCCTTCACTATATCCTATTTTTTTCAAGTTCATGAAACATACAAAGAATTAGGTCTATATTTGTCCCAAGCGGGCTTGAACTCGCGTCCTATGACGTAAAGATTAATTACACCAGATTACAATCAAAGGAATATTAATATAAAGTAAATATTTTATTAATTTGGCACGTTTTTCTGCTGATTCATCGTTAGTTTTTGTACAGGAAATTCAATTTCGTCTCAATGCCCTGGAGACGCATTCTTTACAGCTAAGATTGAGTAAACTGAACAGAAAAAAATGTAAAACTCTAGCTAAACAAGTAGATAAAGTTTTGATACGTTTTCATCTGAAATTGAAATTAAGACAATTAAAAAATATCTTGTACGTTGACATTTCGTTCTAAGAAGTATTAAAAAAAACTTATTTGAAATTCTTACATATTATCAAAAAAAAAGAAAAGTTTAATCATATTTTTTATATATTGAGAATTAGTTATATTTGCCTTAGTCAGACCAAAACACTTGTAAATATCTAAACGAGAATTGAATTCACGATCTTCATGATTAAAGGCAATGGCAAAAATTCTATTGAGCTATAACATTTTGTTTATTTTACCTATTCTTACATACATGTTTTAGTTGCATTTTGGCACAATCTTAAATAAACACTACCAATTACTCCCATCCTGATACAAATTGTTTGGTTTTATACTTGATTTTACTTTATTACTAGTTTCCCTTTCAATCACATTTTTACGAGTCCCCTAAGGGTTTGTGACGCATAGTTCCTTTAGTGAGTTACGCCCTTTGAATCTTTGCTGGATGGATTTTAATATTCATTTGATCATATCATCTTTTATGTAAATGGGGTAAAAGTACCAACTTTTACCTTTCATTATGGAAGGTAAATTTATTGATTCCCAAGGAGGATTGACGTCAGGCAGGCGGCCGGTCGTAAAACTTTTGCCAAATCCTATCAGCAGTACAGAAGATGTACTGCGCCGACCCCAAGTGATTGGGAAATGGGCAGGGAGAAGAAGAAGAAGATTATGGAAGGTAAATTTTGAAAAAAATATTCAATATTTATTAGGTTATCTTAAAAATTATTTAAAGTGCGACTTGGTATTTGTTTTCCTATCCTTCCACGACTGCGGACACGCCGGCGTTACAGTTAACAATAGATTTCTTAGAAATTTACCTGGAGGTGTTAAAATTATTAAAAATAAAAACTTATTAAAAAAAACAAATTATAACAGTCTACTTATAAATAACTATATTTAATTAACATTACATTTGGATAACTCCAAACGTTGCTTTGGCTTAAAAATTTTATATGCTTTAAAAACTCAAGAATTAATCTCACATTGAAGACAAGTCGCATAAAACTTCATGAAGAAGTCTCAAAATCTTTGGGCTTAGAAAACATGTCATTGAAAAAGTGAAATCTAAAAAAAATGAGAATATCATAATATTATGACTATAATATAACAATCATTAAATTAGTTATTTCAGTACAATATTAAAAATTAGAAATATTCTTCTAACTTCTGAAATAAATATTTGCCCAAACGATATTGAATTGTTCGTGACATATAACTCTAAAGCGAATAAAAGGGATATTTGTAAAATTAAAATTAAAGATTTAAAATAACAACAGTTACTATTAAACTAGACATTATTGAATTTATTACTATGAATTTTGAAAATAAAGTATTAAACTTTTTTCTTTTTTTACTGTACAATTTGATCACTGTTTCGTCTTTCAATTTACAAAATATACAAAACTTCTATTTACTAAAATCTATTCTACTTTGGTCAAGATGAAAGTTGATTTTTAATTATTTTATGTATACTTAAGACAATTTAACCGCCTTCAAGCGCTAATTAAGTTTAAATGTACATAAATGAACCTTGAGGTACACCTGTGCTACATTATAAGGGCCAGTATGAAATAGACCACTTTGAAGGCGATTAATTTTGTATATTCTTTAAATTCATATTTTATAATAAAAAAAGACCATTACAAATTTTAATACTATAATTCATCAAATTTACATTCTAAAAGGTAAAAACTAAAATTAGAATTTCTAATCTAATTTGAAATTTAACATCAACTTTGGGATTTGAGCTAGATTTAGTGAACATTGCACATGTATATACAATTAATAGGAGTTATTATTAGGACTTTCATCATTATAGTTTAAACTTGTATCTGCGGATACATCGATTATGTTTGAGTTAATTTCGTCCTTTGAATCTGTATTTTCGTTAACATCATTCTCGACATGATTATCATTTTCTTCATTATTTAAATTGTCTCTATCTACATTTTGACTATCTGATATTACATTGTCTTTCACTGAATCGCTTATTGATTCTCGTTTTTCGATTATAACTTCAAAATTTGGTTTAAAATAGTCTTCTTGCTTACCATTTTTAGGTAAATCTGGGGGACGTACGGTTGACAGGGTGTTAGAGAGATACGATGACTGTAAATTGTAACCTGGTAATAATTTTGGTTGTAGGGGTAACATAAGATCTAAAGAGCCAGTGGTTGCGGGTCTCGGTTGTAAGGGTGGAGCGGTCATTAGGGGTGGTTGCAAAGACGCCAAAGAAATAGCACCACACTGCGTGTTGATTATTGGACTCTCGACTGAAAGAAACATTAAAAATTTAATAACTTAAACTAAATTTAGTTTATTAGTGCTTACTTATTTCTTAAAAAATATTTCTTTTGTTATATTCTTCATTGTAATATGTCTTAGTTTTCAGTATAGAGATGCAACTGGTTTTTTTAATTACTATCATGAAGTACTCAACAGACTCTTTCTTTTTCGTCTAATAATTTTTAATTTGGGTAACTACAGAAAGGAATACTAAAAGATACCAGGAGCTAATAAAATAGTTAAAATTGATAAATAAAAAAAAAAGATTTTTTGGTAGTAGCTCTAAATGGTCGAGGATTTCTTTAAGAAAACCGTTTTCTTTAATCTACGTTCCGAAGAAATCACTAGCGTACTTTATTAGGATAATATATTAGAAATTAATTTGTTTAGGGACGGATGGTTTATGGGATGGAGACGCATAAGCTATAACAAGGGGTTGTTTGGTTTTACCTATAGGAGCTCTGGCTTGTAACGGTTGAGTAACTGGTGGTCGAAGTAAATTTGATGGTCCCTGTAGAGCTAAACTTATCATGTTCATACCGTTTACACCTGAATAAAAAATGGAAAATATTAATATATATTTGATAGATTTAACTTAGTTACGTATAAAAGAAGATAGAATTTTCAAATAAGTACAAAAAAGGCTAATTATTTGATAAAATCCATATTATAAATGAAAAAATTGAACTAAGGTGCAAAATATAAATGTCAAAAAATTACTTTATTATTAAGTTTATGCTATATTTTATTTCACAAATATGTAGTATAGTGTAGTATATATCAGTAATTATAATTTATAACCCTCTGTTATTTTTATAAGAATATATAAAGTTGCATTAAATTAAAAATGTTTATTATGTAAAATTTATAACAATAAACTATTAATAAATTAACAAAACAATTATACATGACCACGTAATAAACATTTTTTTTTAAATCTGATAAAATGAAATAAATAAAAGTAAAACCCGCCATCTGTGTGTACTGAAAGGAAACGACTCACCGAATTTACTGTTAGCTGGTAGCTCTTTCAGAACTACAGGGTGTTTCACTGCGTTCACTCTTCGGTTGGAGGCGCTGGCATCGCGTTTCCTTCTCGGCTGTTCCACTGGCAGTACTCGACGCCTCTTCTTTGGAAGTTTTGACCGAGCCTGCCGATAGATGGCGTTCATTTAAAAAAAATATTAAAATCTAAATTAATTTTAGAAAAATACATAAAAAAAATAATTAATAAACATAAATTTTGATAATACTTTCTTAGATTTATGCGAATGTTTGACATTTTAAATAAAACTATCTTATCGGATTTTCGTAGATTTATTTTAATTTTTTGTACCTACCCGACGCGACATTATGTTCATTAAAATAAATCCGCGCAAAAATCCTAAAACAAAGTTTTATTTAAATAAATTATTAAAATTGATATTTTAAAACGATGAAATTTATAACCTTTAGTACGAGTTCATTTCACACTTGACTATTTTTTATTATTGAAGTGAAAAGTGACAGTGTTACTACACCACTTGCCTACTAAAATTAACGAAAGTTAAAACTCAAAAAGAATATCTAGAACATGTTTTTTTATTTAGATACCCCCATTCTAAAACGTTAGAACTATAAGTTAGTCGTAATTGTTTATTTTTGCCGAATCTACATATATAATTAAAACAGTAAAATGTATTTTAAAATGTTGCCACTTAATTTTAATTAGAACTGAATACTTAAAAAAGTATTTACTTTGACTGAAGAACAATTATTTACCCATTAACCATTGCTTTTTGAAGCATATATTTTCTTATTAATTATGAACGATAAAACATTCGAAATTTTAACATTAATTTATGTATAATATTAAAATTATATTTTCTAAGAAACGTAATAAGCTTTTTAACGTAGACTTTCGTTTCTCATTTAATTAAGCTATATTTTATTCTGAAGACTAACATTTTTTCATATTATTTAAGTAAACAAGAAATCATATATGTGTAGTTTACCCTACTTGCTCAGTTTGTAGTGTACCCTACTTGCTGTGTCAGTGGTCGCGGGTTCGAGTCCCGCTGGGGGCATTCATTTGTGTGATGAGCACGAATGTCTGTACTCCAGTCATGGGTGTTTATATCTATAATATGTATATATTTAAAGTTATATATGTGTAGTGTATCAACTATCTGGTATCCATAACAGAAGCCTCGTAGCTTACCATGGAATTAGACGGTGCTGTGTGTTAATGTCCCAACATATTTATTTACTTATAAAAAAATAAAAATAAGCAATTCTAGTGAACATTGTTGTAAATTATGTGTGTAAGTAATTAATATAAGGTACCTATATTTTCTACATTAAAATGTAACATTTTCAGACTAAAATCTAAAATTTATCACTAGATTACTTCTAAATATAAACCTTAAATTGCCCAAAGGTCAAGATTGAATTATAAATAAAATAATCTCACTCCAATCTCACGGAGTTTACCCAATTCCTTAGGAGATATAATGCACAAATAAATAATATATGCGGAAACCCAGTGCATCTTTAATATATTTTTTCTATCTCTACCTCTTAAGAGACTCGACACTTTGCAACAGACTAGGCACTCATATTGGGACTCTGTCCAGATGTATGCTAAGATTTTTAAAACTACGCAACGGATTTTGATGCGGTTTTTTTAATAAATAGAGTGATTCGAGGGGTAGGTTTATATATATAATACATGTAATTATGTATATAATATAATATAGCAGAGAGGTTTATATATATAATATAGCAGAGAAATACTGATAATTTTAGAGGTTTCTAATATGATGTCGTAAATAAACACATTTTTTCGGGCTTAATTTGCAAACGCTGGCTGAAGCTACGAGATATATCAAAATAATGAACTACAGTACTGTACACCTTAGAAAGGTCTACAAAAAAGTCCGCATTGGCATATGTCAATCTCTTAAGGGTAAAATACTATATCCATTATAATACCTAGGGACAAACCCGAGCGAAGCGAGCGTGAGTCGCTAGTTAAATATATTTCGCTCGAGTATCAATCTAACGAATCCCGACATGCAAATAGAGCCAACTGTACTTAATTTTATTATACGAGCGGTGAGAGATTAGGCACTAGATCGACGACGATGACTTTATGTGCTTTACGAGGCACTAAGGTGTAATGCTGTGTCCACACGCTTGCCATTTACCATAAACTTCAAATTTACGCATGTACTTGTACTATAGTGTGGATGCGTCACAAGCACTTGCTGCAAATTTCCTTTGATGTGTACAAAAACCGACACAAGCCAAGCCAAACGTCCTCTCCACATATTTGAATTGTGATGGAGTGCCATGATAGGTTTCTCCAGCGTCATCAAAAAAAAAAAGGCTTGACAAGAGTGTGGCATAAAACCGCCAAATTTCCAATTTAAGGTTGGTATTTTAGTAATTAGTTAAATTATCAGAAGAAGAAAGCTTGTTGCTTTACAATTGAATGTGTAAAATATGTAGTTATGTAAGTAACTCTCCGTGCCTCGGAGAATATATAAAATCATCGGACTTACGCCTGATCTCTCATCGTCATGTCGTCCCATGGAGTATGAGAATGACAGGAATAGAGAGTGCACTTGTGTCTGCGTGTACACTTGTGCACTATAATAATATGTCCTGCGCAGTTGTTTAGTATCAGTGAGACTGTATTTATCTGTGTTCATTGTATTTAAAAAAATCATCTTTGCCACCAGAGCAGAAGGTCATATTATTAATCATATTTCGCTCGAGTGTGGAACTAACAAATCCCAATATGCAAACAAAGCCAACTATACTTACATTTTCTTTTATTATACGAACTAAAATTAAATTAATTTCGCTGGGTTGCTAGCCCTGATATAGGTCCTGTGTCAACAAAAGCTTATCCCCGAGGGCTTTTGGGCGTGTTTGTCAAAGGTTGTGTTCGAACAAAATAAAAATGTATAAACCATCTTTATAATTTGAAATTCGAAAAGTTATTTACAGTAAAAACACTTCAATGTTTTCAATATCTATAATATAAAAATGAATCGCTGAATGTGTTGCTAAGCGCTAATCTCGAGAGCAGCTGAACCGATTTCGCTAATTCTTATTTTAGAATATTCCTTGAAGTACGAGGATGGTCCTTACGGAGAGAAAAAATTAAAAAATTGCCTGAAAAAAGTCTAAAAACAAAACTTTTCTATACTCCCATATAAAAGATTCGTAATAATACTTAAAAGTCAATTTGAACTTTAATACCATAAAGTTTAAGTGGAGAGGTTCCGGGAAGGCAAAACAATTTAGTGACGTTAGTATCGTATAAATATTAATGTCAATATTTATACGATGGTAACATTACTCAAAAACAAATCTATACAGATAAATTAAATTGAAGTGTCTCTTTGTCAAAATAACAGCTTTTTACTAAACGCATATGGATGTATACACGATACATATACCAAAACAACATTTTGTACAATTTTTGTCTGTCTGTCTGTTTGTTCCGGCTAATCTCTGAAATGGCTAAACCGATTTTGACTAGAAGCTGAGCCAAACGTGTTGTAGATAGTTATAATATTGTAACAAAAGCAGTAACCTATCTATAAATAAAAATGAATATTTCCTTATAAGTACATATACTGATGTATTTATAACTTATGCGCTCCTATACAATTTATTAAATAGTGATGAAAGCTTGGTGATTTTTTCTGCGTACGCCCGAGAAGTTAACGGAACAAAAAAAAATGAGTTTTCTTTGTGTGTTTATCCTCTATGACGACAAGTTGGGCTGAGTTTGTTTGACCTTACTTGCTGTGCCAGCGGTCGCAGGTTCAATTCCCACTAGGGGCATTCATTTGTGTGATGAGCACGAATGTTTGTACTCCAGTTATGGGTGTTTATATTTATAATATGTATGTATTTAACGTTATATATGTGTAGTATATCGACTATCTGGTACCCATAACACAAACCTCGTAGCTTACCATGGAACTAGATGGTGCTATGTGTTAATGTCCCAACATATTTATATTTATTTATACATTCCTAAACTAAATAAAAAATACAAATTTATGCAAATCAAACGCTAGGTTACACACAAAGGTAGTAATTTTTTTTCTGACACATTCTAGAGTAATAAAGGTACACAAATCTTGCAATTTTCTTGGAATAATAGCAACATCCTACAAAGGGCCGTAATGAAATAAAACGCCTGAATATACCTACAGCTTATATTACTTTCCACTTACATTTCAAGGTTTGGATACATACGGTGAAATAATTTGTTCATAATCTATACATATAATAAAATTCTGAGTCGAATCTGTACATTAAATATTTTTTGGAAAATCTTATTGAAGTAGTTATTATTATCGAGACAGAGGCCGAATCTATAGTTTTTAGATGTTTGGTAAGAAGATAGTTTGAGACCCTGGGAAGGTCATTCAATAGTTTTTATCCTTGAAATCATCCCTTAAAAGGGTAAAAAAGTTGATGAACGATAGAATATGAAAGCTTCGTCTAAGTATATAAAAAATCTATGAAAGCTTTTCCCCATCTGCACACTAGATAATCGAATAACCGAAACCACGACAATGGTCGCGAGCGAGCAAACAGTTGGTCGCTACGACACACACACACGACACGACAGACAAATCCTTAGTCAGTCAATTTAATAAGATTATATATCAGCAGAAAAACAATGTCACTGCGTATGTTTACTAGTAATATTATCTCAGAGATACGAATAGGTTATTTTTATTTAAAAATTTTGCTTGAAGCAATTTTAGTCCGTATATTCATTTTGTTGCGAGAATGAAAAACAAGTGATAGGTGAAATATAGGGGATATCTTATACTTCGGAAACTGGATATGGTAATGGTATACTTAAATAAATTTTTATTATAGAAAATATCTATTTTCAGTTAAGAAGAAAATGATGTAAGGATCTCCTTTCATAAGGTGTTTTAACGTATCAATACGATAATGGTGTAATGGCGAATAACAATGTATTATATATTATGTGTGTAGGAGTTATTGTGTCTTGTAGTATTTATTTTTACTCTGCTTCGATGGTGTAGTGGCTAGCATGTACGGCTGCACATCCGGAGGGCCTGGGTTCGAGTCCTGGGTCGGGCCGAGTTTAGTTATTAAGTTTCTTTGTTCAGTAAGCCTCAGTAACAGTCCGGAGTTGGGAAGTTGGCGATGTTTCACCCCCGTGCCTCGGTGAACACGTAAAACCGGATCGCGCCTTAACTTTCACCGGTCGTGTCGAAGTATCGTTTATAGAACTTTGAGAGTAACAGGGATAGAGAGAGTACTTGTGTCTGCGCGTACACTTGTGCACTATAATATGTCCTGCGCAGATGGCTAGTCTTAATGAGATTGACCACCACTTCCCATTTTCAACAACAATACTACAGAGTGCAAAAAAAGGACTTTCATTTATAAAAAACAAAAGATATTCAAATTATTTCCTTTTTTTTTAAATGTAATCAATATTCGAGGTTTACCAGTCAGTATTAAGGTTTTTCAGTTCCAATGAGTTTGTTCATTTAATATTATAAGATAGTGTTATAAGCCGTGAACATATAATATAGATTTGAAACTGATGTACTTTAATTTATTATCTTATATTATTAATTTTGAGATTACTTTGAATCCATTCGTGTTGTATATATAACTAGCGACTCACCTTCGCATCGCTCGGATTCCTCCCTAGGTACGTTTTAAAGGTTAGTATGGAATAGATAGACTATAATAAATTATATGCTATATAGTCTATAGCCTCAATAAACGGATTTTCTGGTCCAAAAAGATTTTTTCAAATCGGATTAGTAGTTCCTGAGATTAGCGCGTTCAAACAAACAAAATCTGCCTCTTAATAATATTAGTTTAGATTAAGTAATTTTGTAATTTCTATGCATTTTTTCTTTCCTTATAAACAAATAGAAGTATTTTATCTATTTCAAATAGTATCATTGAATAAAATCTAATCCCATCCCCATTATTAATATAAATATTATAAATGCGAAAGTTGGATGTTTGGATGTTTGTTACTCATAACGCCAAAACGGCTGAAGATCTGGATGAAATTTGGCACAGAGATAAATTATATTCTGGAATAGCTTAAATATTACTTTTATCCCGGAAAAATGTACGGTTTCTGCCGGATAGATTTGTTTTTGTTTTTCACGAGGGACGAACCCGAGCGAAGCGATGGGTTATTTGCTAGTATACGAATATGTACCTTCATAATAATATTATTATATCTTTATTGTTCTCTGTTTTCCACCAGTATCTAGATAATGTATGTCGTTAAAGATATACTTCTACACTGTCGTAATATATAAAATCTTATGTAATATAAGTAAAGGCGGTTGAAAATATGACATCCTTGAGCACTCTTAATGATAGCAATTTTTTCTTAAAACAAGAAACCATCTTCTTTGTCGCTGAGTATAAATGATTGCCTTACGTGAGCTAACATTAGCCTTATTAATTGAACGTGTAGATAGTTCTCGTATAAAAATATCTTATTATAGCAAAGAGAAGTAATATTTTTATGTTTTAGATAAATATAATCTATATATAAATAGGCAAAGACTAAATAATTCAGTACTTTTTTCTCTTGAAAATGAATACAAATAGTTATAGTTGATAATAGTTTCATATAAATAAATACAGCTATCTGGTAAATACAGCTAAAATCAAGATGGTAACATGAATATTAAAATTTCTATTTGGACTAAATGTCACCAAAGTCTTCACTTTGAGAAGGTACACAAATCACATGTGGGTGCAAATCTAATCAAAGGATGTGCAAATTGCCCGCTTCTGACTAATTTACGATCGTCTCATACACATATGGAAACCCCTACTACGTATTCATAAGACATTTCTCTTTTCATTAAAAACGAAACAAATGTTCTATTTTCTTATCACGGTAGATAGATTATAATAATATCTTTTTTAACGGTTGAAAATGCATTTCAATATACCCGCTAACTGTACATTGTACAACAGGTGGTTATGTAGTGACTGACCGGCTAGAAAAGCTAGTACTAAACACTAAAACCCTTTTGTTTAACAGGTGGTTTCATAGGATTCACCGATCAGAAAAGCCAGTACTACTCACTAAAACCCAACGGAACATCTCCCGTCTTAATGGGGCATTGCAGGATCAGTAACGCACTCAACTACAACGCCCCGATGCTGGTCTCATCAGGCCAGAGGGGTTGCTCCCACGATCACTCTCTGCTATTAGAGAAGTACAAGCAACCCAAATGGTATACCTCCAGAGGCCCAAAGAAGTGAGCGGCATCCCAAGGCATTTCTTACTGTCACACCTGACTGGATTGCTGGACGCTATTGAGCCCCGGTAAGGGGTACGTATGTGTTACACCAGGTCATAATTTATCTGTTATCTAAATTTCATCCAAAACGACCCAGCCATTTCAGAGTAAAGGAGTAACAAACACACACTCATACCCAATCGTGTTTTTTTAAGTAGTATTACATATTCATAGTAAGGCATAACCTTGGCAATGGTATACTACGCTTGATCAAGTAGGTTGGTAATGTTTAAGTGGCACTTAGAATTACGCTCATAATTTACTACTAGCACCCCTGCGAGTTGATTAATACGTGAATATCGTCTTTAATGAATTCGTTCTCTTAAACGCTCTGTTTGATTGCTGATTGT